GTGGTATGCAGGCAGACATGGTGCTAAAGAAGTAACTGAGAATCCTACATATCGCAGGCAACAAGAGTCAGACACTTGGTGTTATCTTGAGTATAGGAAACCTCAAAGCCCACCTCCACAGTGACACACTTCCTCCAACAAGGCCATACCTACCCCAACAAAGCTACACCTCCAAATAATGCCACTCCCTTGAGCTTATGGGGGTCAATTACATTCAGACCACCACAAAACTACCTTAAAATATTTACTATTTTATTCCCAGTGCTCCACATTCAAAAGAGAAGCATGAGGTGACTGGAGAGACAGTTCAATGACTTAAAAATCTTAGAGAAGCCTTGGGTTCAATTTCCAGCATCCACATGGTGGCTCCCAATCTGCCACTACAGATCCAGAGGATTCAGCTCGCTCGCGCGCGCTCTCTCTCTCTCTCTCTCTCTTTCTCTCTCTCTCTCTCTCTCTCTCTCTCTCTCTCTCTCTNCCCTGGACATGCACTAGCTGCTCTCACCTTTGAGCTGACAGCTACAGATCGCTCTCTCTCTCTCTCTCTCTCTCTCTCTCTCTCTCTCTCTCTCTCTCTCTCTCTCTCTCTCTCTCTCTCTCTCTCTCTCTCTCTCTCTGTCCTCCACAGGCACTAGGCATGCACATGGCACACATACATACATGCAGGCAAACACTTGTATACAAAAGATAGAAATAAATATAATTTTTAAACTTGTTTTCAAAAAAAGGAGGATGAGTGTATTTTCTAACTGACATGATCTAACTTTGGGAAACAGCCCACTAGAAAGTCTTGGAGTTAAAATATTTCCCTAATACTTAAAAGCATCCCTATGTATTTTATTGAAAGAACATTTAGTGAAGCAGGGACTCAGACACCCTAGATGGTAGTAACGGGTTCCCACATAGCAAGCAGGCATGCTAGAAGTTCTCAGTTGCAAAATTTTTCTGACAAGAAATTTTCCCTGGTTCAGTGGAGAAGAGCATATCCCATAATCCTTATCGTGCACCAACCCTTTTCCATAGCTGTTGTCCCCAGTGTGAATCTTGTTACTTTTTATCCAGATGGGCAAGCTACTACTCCCAAGTTTTCCTGAATGATTGCTATGATTAGAGAAATTGTAACTGGAGACCAAGTCATTGGAAGACCCTGGAATCAATTATGAATGTGCCCTGTGTGGGGGCCAACAGCTCCTGTGGTTCAACGAAGACAATTGCTTCTTTGGGGTATTTCTGACCTCAATTTAAACAACTTATTTATAATCAGGATTTTGTCGTTCTGAACATAAATTGGAGCAGCCAATTGGACAGTGCAAGAGTTGCCTACTCTGAAGACTCCCCCAGCTCCACAAAGATCTTTGAGGGAAAAATTAATAGGGACCAGTGAAATAGAAGTGTGGAAAGAAAATTTAAAACCGAAGATAAGCAATCTGTTTCTCAGAAGAAAAGATAGGTCTATGTTCTCAACATTGCATTTTACCAATCAAGTTAACATTGATGTATCAACAATCTGGGCTACTAGCAAACAATTACCAATAAAATAGAATTTTCCACTTTGATCTGCCAGTAGTGAGAATGTAGACCAAACTGCCTAAGTTTTAAAAGCACTGGGGATCAAACCTAGGATATCATGCATATTGGGCAAATGGTCTTCCATTGAACTGAACCCCCTAGCTCCTAAAAATATAGCTAATGCATCTTGTGCTTGCAGAGTAGCATCTTTTCTTTTCTTTTTTTTTTTTTTACTGATTATGCATTTGCTCACTTGAGACTCTTATTCTCCTTTTCAACGTCACTAAGCTATATCAACCCTAAACTAAATTATGATCTCTGTTATCCTCACCCACACCTACTCCCAACTATTCCCAGGCATTTGAAAATGTTTAGACTAAACAACAAAATCACTAAATGAAAATCTGAGGCAATGTGCCAAGTTTCAGAGAAAAAGAAAGAGAAGCAAGTGCTATTTTTACTCCACCCATAGAATATGAAAATGATAAAAAGAAATGTCAATAATTCATACTCCTGCTGAAGGCAGGAATGTGGTGTTTAAGATAGGGATCTGGGCACTCTAGCCCTGGGTGTTCAGTGCCTCCATATCCTGCCTTTGAATGACTCATTTCTACAATCTGGCCTTCCTCATCTACAGCTTTCACAGACCTGGTCTATTATGTAAAACAAGATGAATTTCCCAGCAGTACTTCTGAAATCTCTCCCATGAGACATTGTGCAAGGAAGCTTTCCCTTTGACATACAACACGGCGCAATGTTGCATAAAATGCAGATTAACATTGCATTTGTCTAAAGAGCAATTATCTGTCAGGTTATTTAGAATGCATCTGATAATGGAGTTATTTGAACCACCAAAGAAACCTTTCCTTTATGTATGTATTGTGTACATGTATGTGTTAATGTGTGTGTGAGTACACACACTTGCCATGTATAGACCAGGGGACAACTTCAGGTATTGTTCCTCTGGTGCCATGTAGCTTTCTTTCTTGATGCCATGTGTTCATGAAGGTTTGTGTGTACATGTGCATATATGCATCTAGTGTTGCATGCACACAAGTATTTGTACATGCACAGGCCAGAGACTAACACCGTCCTCAGCCACTCTCCACCTTACACTTTCTGAGACAGAGACTCTCACTGGACCTGGAGCTCATCAGTTCATCCAGTCTGGCTGTCTAGTAGGGTCTGGGGTCTGCTCACTCCACCCCCGGTGCTGCTCATTGTTAAATCATTTCTCTCCTTACCATGCCCTACACGGTCCACTCTCTTCCTCTGTCTTTATTTAATTTTAGATATCTGAGGCCTGATAGATTAACTGTCTGTTTATTCCTAATGGCATTCTCAAAGTTATTGTTAGTCTAAGGCAGGCAACAAAAACACAGATAACTGATATAATTCCCACCCTCCACAGGGGTACTGCAGCCCTATTTTCTCTCAATGGGGTGTTTATGATGTGATGGAAGAAGGGGACGAGACCACAGCCCAGTGAATCCCATTGTATTAACTGTGTAAATCAGTAGAAATAGAAATAATAAATACTAGAACCTGAGGATGCATTTTCTCCTATTAAGAACTAGTCACCTATTGTTGACATTATGAATCAAATATTGATTTTTTTTCTCTGTATAAGACGCAAAGCCAAGATGATGATCCACTTCACCAACGTGAAGAAATCATGGCAATTTTTTGCCTACTCCATTTTATCATATACTTTTTGTCTAATTCTTCCCACGTATTCTGAATTTATATTTGAGATGGTAAGAGATTAGCAATTCTATTGTTTCTATCTGTTTTCTGGTGTTATAACAAAATTCCTGACTCTGAGTAATTTATAAAGAAAAGTAGATGGTGTAGCTCGTCGATCTGAAGGCTAGACATCCAACATAAGGGGTCAGCATAATCTTGGCTTCTGGGAAGAACTTCATGCTGTTCCAGGCATGATAAGAAAACAATAGAGCAAGCAGGTACATGTGGAGGAAAGTGTGTGTGCAAAAAAGCAAAGGATCCAGATAGTGGTGGAGTGCACCTTTAATGCCAGCAATCCCAGGGCAGAGGCAGGCAAATCTCTGTGAGTTCAAGGCCATCCTGGTCTACAAAGTAAGTGCCAGGACTGTTACACATAGAAACCCTCTCTAGAAAACAAACAAGCAAAGAGTAAAGGAGATGTCAGATTTGTTTCATAACAACCTGTTATTACACAATTAACACACTACCATGGGGATGTCACTGACCCCTTTCGTAAGGCTTCAGCCGGGGACTCAGGTACCTCTTCAAAGTCTAGTACCTCTATCACACTGGAGACTCGGTCTCCAGCACACACATTTAGAGAACATGGAAACCATAAAACATATAACTGTTAATCTAAGTAAAACCACACAATCTGTAGTTAATTATTAAATAGGGTTCATAGGAAATTCATTTATATGAATATTTCCATTTCCCAGCAGGATCAAATGTGTGTGTGTATTTGTACATGCATTCCTGTGTGTATTTGTGTTAGCTTAAATGTAAATGGCAAGCTAGACGTGGTGGAGCATGTCCATAATCCCTGGATTTGTGAAGTAGAGGATCGGGATTCTAGGTCATCCTCAGATACCTAGTAAGCAGCAATAAATAAGAATTTTTAAATAAGAAAATTTAATCTAAGTGATGTTCACTTGTTTTTATGTATTTGAGAGTCTTAGAATGTAGGAAGTGTTGTGTCACTTTTCTGGGTACCACGAACAGACATCTATCTGTTTTCCCCAGGTAGGCACTGACAACAAACAATTCCACCCAAATCTAATTTGGTCAGACAGTGAGTTTACTGGGGTTCCTTATAGTAGTATAGCTGAGGAATTTCTTACCCAGAAGCACACTAAAATCCCTCTGCACACTGGTGTGGACTCACAACGGCTGCATCCCTACAGCTCTACTGGTCCCAGACTCCTCGAGGTCTCTAGCATTGTAAAAGCTTGTGTAACCTTGGGGAAGAGCCTTGTCGATCTACCGCTACAGTTTCCTCAGACGTGGGGTCTGTTTACTTTGAGCGATTTTTAGTTAATGCCTCTTCCCTCCTGAGTCTTAAAGTGGTGTCCCCTTTGGGAACACCAATTCAAACAAAGCAACGACACAGCGAACAGATTCTGTATGGGAACTACCACCTCCACTAATCCGAGTGATTCTAAAGTGCTTTTCTGATTCTTGAAGACTTTAAGACGCCCTGGGTTGTAGTGAAAAACCCCGTTGTGAGGGTCCCTGCGAGCTCTACTGCTTGCTGGAAGGGAAGGGAACCTTGAAAGGCGATAAGAAAACGCAAGTCAGTGTCTTAGTGAGCCAGGCAGATTCAGACCTCTGGCGTCTGACCCCAAGTGGTTTATTTTTGACATACTTGCAGACAGTAAAACTTTGGAAAAGAAGGTGTTCTCGTGACAATTATCACAATAAAACTTAGCACAAGTGACCCCTTCAACTCTTGTAAAGAAAACATGTAATTGAGGTGGCTCACTTACAGTTACAGAGGCCCAATCCACTATCATCACGGCAGGAGCGCGGCAGGGGACAGACAGACGTGAAGCTGGAGCCCAGAGGGCTACATCTTTCAGGCAAAAGGAAGTGGACTCACAGTCGCACTGGGGGAAGCTTAAGCAAAAGAGGCCTCATCGCCCGCCCCCACAGTGACATATTTCCTCCAACAAGGCCACACCTCCCAGTAGAGCCGCTCCCTTTGGGGGGGCATTTTCTTTCAAACCACCACGGCAAGACCACATCGAAAATCCTGTGCAAAGCCCCTCATTCCATACCTACGCCTGAGAGAATCCTGGAGAAATGCTGACATAACATCCATTTCCTGGCCAAGAAGCTGGATTCCAATTCTGAGAACAAATAAGGAGTACCTGTTGTTGTTCCTTTTGGAAACTACAGCTCCCAGATTCCTCCTGGATTACGGACACCTGCGCCCAGGTGCAGGTCATTTCTCCCAGATACCCTTGCACTTCTCGTTAAAAAGCGAGCTTCCACGAGGTCTCGCTCTCTCTTGCCCCTTACCCTTGTGTGTCTTGCACACCTGTCCCTTATCGTGTCCTCCTCCCCCCCCATTAAAGTGCATCCACGTGGGAGCCACGTGTCTGTGTCTCCTCCTTTCGCGCGTGTCTTGTCTGTCCTGTGTGTGTCTACACAGCACACCCGCTTTAAAAGAATAATACCTGTAAGTTAAAAATATTTAATTTTGGAATCAAATGACTTACTGGAAAATTGAAAAACTATCCCAGGAAATCTCGAGGATCAAAGAGCAGCGTGATAGACAACGGGAGAGGAGTTTTTGTTCCTGTTTTTCATCTAAAGCAGAGAGTCTATAACTAACAAAAACTAAATTAAAATATTATTGAAGGAAAGGAGCTAAGGAATGTCAAAATGCTAAAAATTTTTGACAGGAAAAGTTGTAGAATATTATTTATTTTAAAATTATTCTTGTCATTATTTTATTTATTCCTTGAATGTATGTCTATGTACCATGTTCATGTCTGGTGCCTTTATTTCAATAAATAAATAAACAAATAAATATTAAAAGTTTGTTTCATTAAAATCTAAGGATGAGGCTTGGCTGGGCAAAGAGAAGGGTGTCATGTTCCTAAATTCCTCCACTCCCAACACATTGCCATACAATGTTTAAAGAGCTGGTGTTGGATATCAAATCACTATGATCTATAGATTTGTTTTGCTATGTGAAAAAGATTATTTTAAAATGTCAACATTTTATTCATACCAGAAATTTTATTTTGTTATAATGTAAAATAATTAAGTCTGTACTTCTAAAATTGTATAAGTGAATGTAAACTCTTTGAGAGAATTTTAATTTTAGGATGTATTAAATGAAGTAAATGTTTTTGCAAAACACCACTCCAAGGTTGCTAACTGGTTAATTTACTAAATAGATTCATACCGCCCCCTAGTGGTTAAAATGGTCAGCAACACACCTAGTACATAGTATTATGGCCAAATTTTTTTTAATTTATTTATTTATTAAAGATCTCTGTCTCTTCCCCGCCGCCGCCTCCCATTTCCCTCCCTCCCCAGATCAAGTCCCCCTCCCTCGTCAGCCCAAAGAGCGATCAGGGTTCCCTGCCCTGTGGGAAGTCCAGGGACCACCCACCTCCATCCAGGTCTAGTAAGGTGAGCATCCAAATTGCCTAGGCTCCCACAAAGCCAGTACGTGCAGTAGGATCAAAAACCCATTGTATAGCCAAATTTTTATTTGCACTAAATAAACAGAAAATTTTATAAACTCTGGATAAAGAGAATATTTTGAAATTCAGTGTTTGCAACTCAGGTGGGAGTATTCTCTATCATCTCTACAGCAAAAGACAGCATTGTCAGTCAGAGCTCACCACGCATACATTTATAATGCACTATATGATCTTTCTATATGTAGTTTCTGAAAAAAAGTGACCAAAAAAAAAAAACAAAAACAAAACAGAACAATTCACTAATGTTTTGCTTCTCAAAACACAGATAACTTAGAATGCTCCTCTTGTCCTAAGAAAAATAATAGAAAACTAGAGAATCATAATTATTTTTTACCGACGACAGCAAAGATCACCAAGAAATGAACTCCAAAGGGTGACAAAACCCTTTAGAGGAGCTGGAACACAAGAACTGTAAACTCAAAGTCTGGCAGGATGAGCTCGTAAGGCAGCTAGGGACATGCATGCACACAAGTGCTGAGGGCAACTGTTCACAGGAAAGACAATGTATACTTGGGTACCAGTTTGAGACGGTTCAACATCCCTGATAGATTCCAGGACATCATAAAGCTCATTTCTCTGAAGGGGAAAAATTTTAAAAAAAAGCCAGTGTTGTAAGATCATCCATACGGTACAGGAAAACATTGTGGCAAGGCCATGCATCCCATGACTCTGAAGTCATCTGACAGCTGCAGATACTTCACAAATCAGTATATGGGATTTTGTCAGGGGGTTGTAGTGCACGCCTTTAATCCCAGCACTGGGAAGGCAGAGGCGGGAGGATCTCTAAATTTGAGAGCAGCCTGGTCTATAGAGCAAGCTCCAGGATAGCCAGAGCTACACAGAGAAACCTCTATTGAAAAAACAAAATAACATGACGGCTATTCTTAGTCTTCATTGACTAAATCCAGGATTAACTAAAACCCCCAAATAAGAGGCACACCTATGAGGGATTTTTACTTAATTTGAAGTAAGAATATCTACTTCTAAACCGGATCTATGAGGTATGACGACCATTAATCCAGGTTTTGAGCTGGGAAGACCCACCTCTAATCTGGGCCACCCCTTCACGGGGTGAGAAGAGCCTCCATAGTAAATCCACTCCTTCCCTGGCATTAGAGCCTATTTATTCTTCAGGCTTCTGGCATATACTGAAGACCAGCTGAGACATCCAGCCTCCAGCAACCACTGGATTCTCAGGCTTTCTGTTCGTAGCCAGTCACTGCTGGACTGGCTGTGCCACGGCTTGTGAATCATTCTAACAGAGATCATTCTGCAAGTTCAGTTACTCAAGAGGTCCCTAGTACAAATAATAAAACACATTTTTAAAAATTATAACGAGAGTGTAAACAACCAACCCTATTGCTAACACTGTACAAAGTAGTTAAACATGGAATTAATTAATTAATTAATCCAGGGATAAGGCAGACATCTACTCTTAGGAGCATAAGAAAGCCTGCAAAGTATTTAATAAGTAAAAAGTAAAAGGTGTTAAGATTTTTTTTAAAGCAGGGCTATGGAAATCTATAATCTGGAACAGTAGTGGCATATGCCTTTAATCCTAGCACTCAGGAGGCAGAAAGAGACTGATCTACACGTGAGTTCCGAGCAAGCCAAGGCTACACATTAAGACCCGTCCCCATCTTAACTGCCCCGTCCCAAAAAGGAAGGAAGAGAAATTAATGTGTAGCGAAGTCAGAGGTCACAGTCACAAAAACAAGTATTTTATGAAATCCTAAAAATTACAATTTTTTTTAATTTTTATTTTTATTTATTTATTAAATATTTCTGTCTCTTCCCCCCCCCCGCC